GGCTGCTCCCCATTTTCTGTGGCCGTTTGCGGTTCGGTACGCGGCGCATCAGCTCAACCTTCACCCCCGGGTCTCCATGCCGGAGACCTCCCCTGCTTTGCTGTGGACGGGGAAGGTTGGTGATGCGTCGCGTTTCCGGGTCTGGGGATCTAGGGCGTTTGTCCGCGACTTGTCTGCGGACAAGCTGTCCTCTCGTGCTGTTCCCTGCGTCTTCCTTGGCTTTCCCCCTGACGCGCCAGGCTGGCAGTTCTACCACCCCACCTCGCGCCGTGTCTTCGCGTCCCAGGACGTCACCTTTGACGAGTCGGTTCCCTACTACCGTCTCTTCCCCTACCGCACTGCGTCCCTCCCTCCCCCGCCGCTCTTCCTTACACCAGGCCCCCCTCCGGTAGACCCCCTCCCCCCTCAGGGTCCTGCTCCCTCAGGTGTGTCCCAGGTAGATGCAGTTGAGCCAGTCGAGGTAGCTGTTGACTCTGGTGCTGCTGGTGGTGCTGAGCCTGGGGGTGCTGGGTCTGGGGGTGCTGCGACTGGGGGTGCTGAGCCTGGGGGTGCTGGGCCTGGGGGTGCTGCGACTCGGGGTGCTGAGCCTGGGGGTGCTGGGCCTGGGGGTGCTGAGCCTGGGGGTGCTGCGCCTGGAGGTGCTGAGCCTGGGGGTGCTGAGTCTCGGAGTGCGGAGCCTGAGGGTGCTGGACCTGCTCGTCCGGCGTCTGGTGGTGCTGAGCCTGACAGTTCTTCGGGTGCTTCGTCCCGGCGGGAGCTGCTCTCTCCACAGGAGCTGCGTGAGTGGTTCGCCCGGCGCTGGCGACGTGCTGCTGGAGCTGGTGGTGCTGCAGGAGCTGGGGGTTCTACTGCTGCTGAGAGTGCTGGTGCCGAGGGTCCCAGAGGTGCTCGTACCGAGTGTACTGGAGCTGCTGGCCCTACGAGTGCTCCTCCTACTGGAGCTGGTGGTGCTGCTGGTGCTGCTGGCGTTGGTGCTGCTGGTGCTCCTGGAGCTGGAGCTGCTGGTGCTGCTGGTGCTGCTGACGTTGGTGCTGCTGGTGCTCCTGGAGCTGGAGCTACTGCGTCTTCGGGTGGTCCGGCTGGAGCTGGAGCTACTGGGGGTGTTGGCGCTGGGGGTGCTCCTGGCGCTGGTGCTGCTGAGGGTGCTGGAGTTGGAGCTGCTGGAGCTGAGGGTCCTCCTGGTGCTGGTGCTCCCGCTGAGGGTTCTGGTGCTGTTCCTGCTGGCGCTGGTGGAGCTACGCGGCCGCGGCCGTACTTCGTTCCGCTCCTTCAGCAGGTTCTTGGTCTTCCGTCCTCTCTTGGTCCTGCTCCTGCCTTAGAGTGTCCGCCTCCTGTCCAGTCTGAGTCACAGTTACAGCCACCTTCCCCGCTTCCTTCTCCTTCTCCCTACACTGGTCCTACTGGAGGTCTTGCTGAGCGTCGTGAGCCTGCGTCTCGCCCTGCGTCACCTGTCCGTGCTGCTCGCACTAGTGGTCGTGGTTCGCGCCAGCGTCCTCCCCCTGTCCCCGGCACGCACCGGATGTCTCTGCGTCCTTCCACTGCTCCGCTGCGTGCCCCTTTGCCTTCTCCTCCAGCGTCCTCTCTTCCTGAGCTTCCTGACCCGGAGTCGGACTCCCTTCGTGCTGCGCGTCCTACTGTCACACGTCTCCTTGCTACTGTCGTCACTGACCCTTCCTTTGAGTCTACTGCTGCGTCTGCCCTCGTTGCTGAGCTTGTCGACTTCGCTGCTCGCTGTCGCCTAGACTACGCTACCAGTCTCGTCGCTGAGTCTGAGTCTGTCTGTCCTCCGTCCGTTGGGGGTGAGTGTGCTCTTGGCACGGACGTCGTTGAGGACAGGCAAGAGGAGTTCCAGTGCTTGGCTGCTGCTTCACCTCATCTCGTGTCCATGCTGCTTGCCCCTGAGGGAGACCCGGATGCACTTGACATCCCGACTCCGCGCTCTTACGCGGAGGCGATAGAGGGTCCCTACTCCTCTCAGTGGCAGGCAGCCATAGACGCAGAGATGGCTTCCTGGAAATCCACAGGCACCTACGTTGACGAGGTTCCCCCGCCTGGGGCGAACATCGTCAGTGGCATGTGGATTTTCAGGGTGAAGCGGCCGCCGGGTTCTCCGCCTGTCTTCAAGGCGCGTTACGTGGCTCGTGGCTTCAGTCAGCGGCAGGGAGTTGACTACTTTCAGACCTTCTCTCCCACCCCGAAGATGACCACTCTTCGGGTACTGCTGCACATAGCCGCTTACCGAGACTACGAGCTGCACTCTCTTGACTTCAGCACTGCTTTCTTGCAGGGCAGCCTGCACGAGGAGATCTGGCTGCGCCGCCCACCTGGCTTCACTGGGACTTTTCCTCCTGGCACCCAGTGGAGCCTCCGGCGGCCAGTCTACGGTCTCCGCCAGGCGCCTCGTGAGTGGCACGACACACTGAGGACGACACTTGCGGCTCTTGGGTTTGCACCTTCTACTGCCGACCCGTCGCTGTTTCTGCGCACCGACACTTCTTTGCCGCCGTTCTACATCCTCGTGTACGTCGACGACTTGGTCTTTGCTACAGCTGACACTGCTGGACTTGCCTACGTGAAGTCCGAGCTGCAGAAGAGACACACGTGCACAGACCTGGGTGAACTGCGCAGCTACCTTGGCTTGCAGATCACCCGGGACAGAGCACAGCGCACCATTACCCTAACTCAGTCACACATGGTGCAGCAGGTCCTTCAGCGCTTCGGCTTCACGTACTCCTCGCCTCAGGCCACTCCTCTGCCTACACGCCACTCGCTCTCAGCTCTGCCTTCGGATGAGTCCGTAGAGTCGAGTGGCCCGTACGCAGAGCTTGTGGGCTGCCTCATGTACCTGATGACCTGCACTCGACCTGACCTTGCATACCCTCTTAGCATTCTTGCACGCTATGTTGCTCCTGGGAGACACAGACCAGAGCACATGGCTGCAGCGAAGAGGGTGTTGCGCTACTTGTGCAGTACGTCGGGCATGGGGCTTGTGCTTGGAGGGCAGAGTCCAGTGGTCCTCACTGGTCACGCAGACGCTTCTTGGGCAGACGACCAGGCTACGCAGCGGTCGTCACAGGGTTACACCTTCAGCCTTGGTTCCGGCTCTGTTTCGTGGCGGTCTACCCGCTCGTCTTCTGTTCTCGGCTCGAGCTGTGAGGCTGAGATCTACGCAGGGGCCATGGCTGCACAGGAGCTACGCTGGCTCACCTACCTACTGACTGACTTGGGAGAGCCGCCTCGTTCTCCTCCAGTGCTGTACGTAGACAACAAGGCCATGCTGGCCTTGTGTCGGGAGCACAGACTGGAGCACAGAACGAAGCACATCGCTCTCCGCTACTTCCTTGCTCGTGAGCTGCAGCAGCGTGGTCAGCTGCGCCTTGCTTACGTGGCCTCTGAGGCCAACACTGCTGATATCTTCACCAAGGCACTTCCGCCTTGTGATCATCAGCGCTTCTGTACTCTGTTAGGTCTTGTGCCTACCTTGCCTCACTTGCTCACTTCTTGACCTTGCTTGTACTGTTACATATATATATACCTGCTCTTGCTTGTTTAGCGTTATATATATGTAATCTTGCATGTGAACTGGCCTTGTGGCCTTGAACTTGTGCTCAGACTGTGTGGTGACGTTGTGATCCACCCTGAGCTTGCCTTGCCTTGCTTTGCTTGACTGGTCTTGTGACCTCTTGTTCTCCCCCACTTTGCCTATGGGGGTGTGTCAAACATTATGCATGTTGTAGCTTTGTAGGCTACAGTGGGTTTAGCCTTAGAGGGTACAGAACTCTAGGGTTTCATATTTGTACTCTCATTCCTGTTAGTCATCATCATTCTCGTTCTAAGTTTCACACATGTAAGTCCCACGCTTCGGGACTAGCCCGAACTTCGATGCCAGCATCGCATTAGCTAGCTCGCGCGCATCGCGTTACCATGTGCATGTTTCGCGTATAAGTATTCGCTCATGCCTTCGCTCATACTTTGTACTCATTCTTTACACCTAGTGTAATCCTCGAGATCTCGTTCCATTGCACCAGTAACACTTGGCTATCATAGCCACTTTCTTTCGGACCTCGCATTTCAGCAACCAGCAAAAAAACTTTTTTATTTATTTTTTTTTTTTTTTTGCACTCAAAGGGGCTCACGCCTTATTACCTAGGAGTCGCTGCCCTCGTGTTCTCTCGTAAATGCGTGCAACCACGACTGCGCCTAGAGCTAAGACGAGCCTTTGCCCTTCGGTATGGCTGAGCATATTGACGTCACCATGCTTACGCAAGAGCGCCTGAATCAACGGCTCCAGCAGCTGCAAAAAACCACAGGGGAAATTGCGGCGCTGACGGCAGAGCGTACGTCACTATAAAATAACATCGCACCGACGAAAAAACCACAGTCGCAATCACACAGCACGAAAGGACAAGGACCACATCTAGCATCGCAACATGGAAGTGTGGGCAACCCTCGAGCGCTGCTAGTGATGGCATCGTCTGCAACGACGGAGACGATGACCACGGCACGACACACCTTGGAGCGATGAATGCGGCGAGGAGTCAGCCACACGTCACAATTTCGGTGCCGAACGACAAGTCAGCACTGCCGTCGCCAATGCCGCTCAAGCCACAGCGTCCGTCGTGCTTCGATCTTGTTAGAATCTTAGAATAGAACGAGAATGGATGAACTAGCAGGAAGTTGGGTACAAGTAGGAAACCCTAAGTTTGTGTACCCTCTAAGGCTAAACCCACTAAAGCCTACACAATATAAACATGCAATGTTTGACACACCCCCATAGGCGAAGTGGGGGACAACCAGAGGGTCACAAGACCAGTCAAAGCAAAGCAAGACAAAACAAGCTCAGGGTGGATCTCAAGGATACCACACAAATTCCGAGCACAAGCAAGTGGTCACAAGACTAGTTCACATGCAGTTTCATAATATAACAAGAGGTACAGTGATCACAACCTAGCAAGTGAAAGCATGCAGGTATATATATAGAGATACCAGTACAAACAAAGTCAAGAAGTAAGCAAGTGAGGTCCAGTAGGCACAAGGCCTAGAAGAGTACAGAAGCGCTGATGGTCACAAGGCTGAAGCGCCTTGGTGAACACGTCAGCAGTGTTGGCCTGAGTGGCCACGTAACGCAGACAAAGCTGACCACGCTGCTGCAGCTCACGAGCCAGAAAGTACCGCAGAGCGATGTGCTTCGTTCTGTGCTCCAGTCTGTGCTCCTCACACAAGGCAATGGCAGCCTTGTTGTCGACGTACAGCACTGGAGGAGAACGAGGCCGCTCTCCCAAGTCGGTCAGCAGGTAGGTGAGCCAGCGTAGCTCCTGGGCCGCCATGGCTGTGGCGTAGATCTCAGCCTCACAACTGGAGCTGAGAACTGAAGAAGAACGTGTAGAACGCCAAGAAACTGAACCGGAGCCAAGGCTGAAGGTGTAACCCTGAGACGACCGCTGAGTGGCCTGGTCGTCCGCCCAAGAAGCGTCTGAGTGTCCAGTGAGAACAACTCGGTCTCGCCCTCCAAGCACTAGCCCCATGCCCGACGTACTGCACAAGTAGCGCAACACCCTCTTAGCGGCATCCATGTGCTCCTTCCGGTGACGGCCAGGAGCGACATAGCGTGCAAGGATGCTAAGAGGGTATGCAAGGTCAGGACGAGTGCAGGTCATCAGGTACATGAGGCAGCCCACAAGCTCTGGATACGGGCCACTCGGCTCTACGGACTCATCCGAAGGCAGAGCTGAGAGCGAGTGACCGGTAGGCAGAGGAGTGGACTGAGGCGAGGAGTACGTGAAGCCGAAGCGCTGAAGGACCTGCTGCACCATGTGTGACTGAGTCAAGGTAATGGTGCGCCGTGCTCTGTCTCGGGTGATCCGCAAGCCAAGATAGCTTGTCAGTTCACCCAGGTCTGTGCACATGTGTCTCTTCTGCAGCTCCGACTTCACGTGGGCGAGAGCCTGAGTGTCAGCAGTGGCAAAGACCAAGTCATCGACGTACACGAGGATGTAGAACGGCGGCAACGAAGTGTCTGTGCGCAGAAACAGCGACGGGTCAGAAGTAGAAGGCGCGAACCCAAGTGCCGCAAGTGTCGTCCTCAGTGTGTCGTGCCACTCACGTGGTGCCTGGCGGAGACCGTAGACCGGCCGGCGGAGGCTCCACTGGGTACCAGGAGGAAACGACCCAGTGAAGCCAGGAGGGCGGCGCAGCCAGATCTCCTCGTGCAGACTACCCTGCAAGAAAGCAGTGCTGAAGTCAAGAGAGTGAAGCTCGTAGTCACGCTGAGCGGCTATGTGCAGCAGCACCCGAAGAGTGGTCATCTTCGGGGTGGGGGAGAAGGTCTGGAAGAAGTCGACTCCCTCACGCTGGCTGAAGCCTCGAGCAACGTAACGCGCCTTGAAGACAGGCGGAGAACCCGGCGGCCGCTTCACCCTGAAAATCCACATGCCACTGACGATGTTCGCCCCTGGTGGGGGAACAGCGTCGACGTAGGTGCCTGTGGACTTCCAGGAAGCCATCTCTGCGTCCATGGCTGTCTGCCACTGAGAGGAGTAGGGACCCGCTATCGCCTCTGCGTAAGAGCGCGGGGTCGGGATGTCTGGTGCATCCAGGTCTCCCTCAGGGGCAACTAGCATGGACACGAGATGAGGTAAAGCAGCAGCAAAGCACTGGAACTCCTCCTGCCTGTCCTCAAGGACGTCCGTGCCAAGAGCACACTCACCCCCGACGGACGGAGGACAGACAGACTCAGACTCAGCAACTAGGCTAGCGGCGTAGTCGAGACGACAAGCGGCAGCAAAGTCAACTAACTCAGCAACGAGAGCAGACGCAGCAGAGGACTCAAAGGTAGGGTCAGTGACAACAGTAGCAAGGAGACGTGTGACAGTAGGACGGGCAGCACGAAGGGAGTCAGACTCCGGGTCAGGAAGGTCAGGAAGAGAGGACGCAGGAGGAGACGGCAGAAGGACACGCTGAGGAGCAGTGGAGGGACGCAGAGTCATGTAGTGAGTGCAAGGGACAGGGGGAGGGCGCTCACGTGGGACACGACGACCAGTGCGAGCAGCACGGACAGGCGACGTAGAGCGAGACGCAGGCGACACAGGACGAGACTCAGGCTCACGATGCTCCGTAAGACCTCCTGTGGGACCAGAGTAAGGAGAAGGACCGGGGAGCGGCGAGGGAGGCGGTAACTGCGACTGCGACGTGACGGACGGAGGACACGCTAAGGAGGGAGCAGGACAAGGAGGAGGAGGCTGACCAAGAACCTGCTGGAGAAGCGGAACGAAGTACGGTCGGGGCCGCTCAGTGACTCCAGAACCAGGAGAGACGGCACCAGCACCCGCGGCAGCTCCAGCAGCACCAGCTCCAGGGTCCGCAGCACCAGCAGCAGCTCCAGCGCCAGGGTCCGCAGTACCAGCAGCAGCTCCAGCTCCAGGGTCCGCAGCACCAGCAGCAGCTCCAGCTCCAGGGTCCGCAGCACCAGCAGCAGCTCCAGCTCCAGGGTCCGCAGCACCAGCAGCAGCTCCAGCTCCAGGGTCCGCAGCACCAGCAGCAGCTCCAGCTCCAGGGTCCGCAGTACCAGCAGCAGCTCCAGCTCCAGGGTCCGCAGCACCAGCAGCAGCTCCAGCAGCAGCTCCAGCTCCAGGGTCCGCAGCACCAGCAGCAGCTCCAGCTCCAGGGTCCGCAGTACCAGCAGCAGCTCCAGCTCCAGGGTCCGCAGCACCAGCAGCAGCTCCAGCTCCAGGGTCCGCAGCACCAGCAGCAGCTCCAGCTCCAGGGTCCGCAGTACCAGCAGCAGCTCCAGGGTCCGTAGTACTAGCAGCAGCTCCAACCCCAGGGTCCGCAGTACCAGCAGGGCCTCCAGCAGCAGCAGCAGCACCTCCAGCACCAGGGTCCGCGACACCAGGCGCTCCACTCCGGAGAGTGCAGCGCCGCTCGTACCACTCGCGGATCCGCTCAAGAGAGGGCAGCTCCCGCTGAGGAGGGGAGGCACCAGCACCAGTCGCAGCAGCACTCCTGGTCCCAGAGGCACCTCTCCGGAGGCTGCAGTACTCTGAGTACCACTCACGCAGCCGCTCCGAGGAGAGAGCTCCCCCAGGGGTAGGACTCCCAGGCTCAGCACCCCCAGACTCAGCACTCCCAGACCCAGAACTCTGCAGCTCAGCACCCCCAAGCACAGCACCCCTAGACTCAGTACATCCAGGCTCAGTACCCCCAGACTCCGCACCCCCAGGCTCCGCAACCGCAGGCTCCGCACCCCCAGGCTCAGCACCCCCAGGCTCAGCACCCCCAGGCTCCGCACCCCCAGCAGGACGAGAGTCAACAGCTACCTCAACAGGGTCAACCGGGTCTACCTGGGACACACCTGAGGGAGCGGCACCCTGAGGGGGGAGGGGGTCTACCACAGCAGCACCTGGTGCGAGGAAGAGAGGCGGGGGGGGGAGTGGGGCAGTGCGGTAGGGGAAGAGGCGGTAGTAGGGGACAGACTCGTCAAAGGTGACGTCCTGAGAGGCAAGGACTCGGCGCGAGGTGGCGTGGTAAAACTGCCAACCAGACGCGTCAGGGACAAAGCCAAGGAAGATACAGGGAACAGCGCGGGTGGAGAGCTTGTCCGCGGACGTATCGCGGACAAAAGCTCGAGATCCCCAGACCCGGAAACGCGACGCATCGCCAACCTCCCCCGTCCACAGCAGCGTGGGCGAGGTCTCCGGCAAGGAGACACCGGGCCAGAGGTTGAGCTGATGCGCAGCGTACCGGACCGCAAACGGCCACAGAAAGTGGGGGGCAGCCGCATGGATCAAGGAGGTACGGGCGACCTCCATGACTAGGCCAATGCGGCGCTCCGCAACCCCATTCTGCTGTGGAGAGGCCGGAAGCGTGAACGAATGCTCAATACCGTGCTCAGCATAGTAGGCTGCCAAGAGGTCGGAGGAGAACTCACCACCTCTGTCAGAGTGCAAGCGCAGGACAGGAAAGTCCGAGTGGAAACGCTCGCTGAGCTGGAGACGAGCTCTGCGGATCCAAGGGATCAAAACATCAGGGACTTCACCCTTGGTGCGCAAGGGGAAGACCGTGGTGTAGCGCGAGTAGTCGTCAACAACTATCAGGAAGTACCTCTCCTGACCCTGACCATGGACGCGGGCTGGGCCCCACACGTCCATGTGGAGTGTCTGCAAGGGAGCAGTCGTCGGGGGAAAGGAGGAGGAGTGAGGAGCGGCGCGCTGCCGCCCCTCGACACAGGGAAGACAGGGAGGAGCAGGCGAGGGAGGGAGAGGAGGGAGAACCCTGGGAAGACCAGAGACAAGGTACCTGGAGTGCATGGCCCGAAGGCGCTGCACAGACGGGTGACCAAGTCGGTGGTGCATGAGGACAGTCTCGTGCGCCAGAGAGCGACACGAGCAGGGGGCCGACAGCTGACCTGACGCAGACGCAGACGCAGACGCAGCGACCGCTACCTGAGGGGACACAGTGGTCAGTGTGTACAGGTCCGACCCCGGCTGCCGAGTGAAGGTAGCCAAGTGGCGGCCCGTACGGGCACACGTGCAGTGCGTCACGCGCTCGTAGGCCGGGGTGAACTGGTGAACACCCGCGTCCTGGAGCGCACACCCAGCCACCAGGTTCGTAGAGAACGAGGGGAGGTGGAGACCGGACAATGTGCCCGACGGGACCGCAGGACAGGGAAGGACAGTGGAGGAGGTCGCAATGACCGGACCCCCAGAGGGGTCAGCGAGGGAGACAGCAACTGGCCGAGCAAGCGGCTCAAGGGCAGTGCGGTCACGAAAGAAACAGCGAGAAGCACCTGAGTCCAGAGTGAAGGTGTGCAGTGCCTCAGTCGACTCAGTACCAGGGGGCGCAGACTCACTAGCACCTAGAGCAGCAGCCTCACCAGCACCTGGGGTAGCAGCTGCACTAGCACCTAGAGCGGCAGCCTCACTCACAGGACACGGCAGCTGCACCTGTCCACGACCAGAAGCTCCCGACCGACCCACTCCAGAGCGACTACCACTACGGCCACCCCGACAGCCCAAACTGGCGTACCACTCACGAAGCTGCTGGGGTGAAAGAGGACACTGCAGCTGCACCTGTCCACTACCAGAAGATCCAGACCGACCCACTCCAGAGCGACTACCACTACGGCCACCCCGACAGCCCCAACTGGCGTACCACTCACGAAGCTGCTGGGGTGAAAGAGGACACTGCAGCTGCACCTGTCCACTACCAGAAGCTCCCGACCGACCCACTCCAGAGCGACTACCACTACGGCCACCCCGACAGCCCCAACTAGCGTACCACTCACGAAGCTGCTGGGGCGTGAGGGACTCACGCGCACGGCCCTGGAGCTGCATCTGGCCTCGCCAGGAGCAGCAGTAACAGCAGTAGCGGCAGTAACAGCAGTAACAGCAGGAGCAGTACCAGTGGGAGTAGAAAAGGCAGTAGCAGCAGTAGCAGTGCGGGCAGGGCAATGCTCACCAGTGGTCGGCGTGGCAGGCGCAAGACGGTGGCGACCGCGGGGCCGCTACAACTGCAGGGCGGGGCCAGGCCGCAGCAGGGAGCTCCGCGGCAGCTGCTGCAGGGCGAGGCCGGGCCGCGACGGCAGTTGCTCCAGGTGCCTGGGGCGGCTGCTGCAGGTGCGGGCTGCTCCAGGGGCGGCTGCTGCAGGTGCGGGCTGCTCGAAGGGCGGCTGCTGCAGCGGCGGGCGGCTCCAGGGGCGGCTGCTACAGTGGCGGGCGGCTCCAGGGGCGGCTGCTGCAGTGGCGGGCGGCTCCAGGGGCTGCTGCTGCAGTGGCGGGCGGCTCCAGGGGCGGCTGCTGCAGTGGCGGGCGGCTCCAGGGGCTGCTGCTGCAGTGGCGGGCGGCTCCAGGGGCTGCTGCTGCAGTGGCGGGCGGCTCCAGGGGCTGCTGCTGCAGTGGCGGGCGGCTCCAGGGGCTGCTGCTGCAGTGGCGGGCGGCTCCAGGGGCGGCTGCTGTAGTGGCGGGCGGCTCCAGGGGCTGCTACTGCAGTGGCGGGCGGCTCCAGGGGCGGCTCCACGGGCAGGTGGCGACGCCGCGGGCAGGGCGACGCGGCGGGCAGGTGGCGACGCGGCGGGCAGGTGGCGACGCCGCGGGCAGGCGACGACGCCGCGGGCAGGCGACGACGCCGTGGGCAGGCGACGACGCCGCGGGCAGGCGACGACGCCGCGGGCAGGCGACGACGCCGTGGGCAGGCGACGACGCCGCGGGCAGGGGCTGCGTCGCGGGCAGGCGACGACGCCGCGGGCAGGCGACGACGCCGCGGGCAGGGGCTGCGTCGCGGGCAGGCGACGACGCCGCGGGCAGGCGACGACGACGCCGCGGACAGGGCGACGCGGTGGGCGGCGAGTGGCTGCAGAGGCGGCGCGCGGTCGGGCAGAGGCTGCGCGCGGGCCTGACGGGCAGTCTACAGGGGCGGCTCTCGGGCGTGACGGGCCTGCAGAGGCGGCTCGGGGGGGGCCTGACGGGTCTGCAGAGGCGGCTCGGGGGCCTGACGGACCTGCAGGGGCGGCTCGAGGGCGCACGAGGGCGCACGAGGGCGCACGAGGGCGTACGAGGGCGTACGAGGGCGCACGAAGGCGCACGAGGGCGCACGAGGGCGCACGAGGGCGCACGAAGGCGCACTAGCAGAGAAAGGCGCACGAGGGCGCACGTAGGGTAGGGCGCACGAGGGCGCGTCTAGCGGAATAGTGGGCCCATTGGAGAAAGCGGTCCTAGGTAGCAACCTAGGCCTCTGATACCATGTTAGAATCTTAGAATAGAACGAGAATGGATGAACTAGCAGGAAGTTGGGTACAAGTAGGAAACCCTAAGTTTGTGTACCCTCTAAGGCTAAACCCACTAAAGCCTACACAATATAAACATGCAATGTTTGACAGATCTAAGCCAACGAAATGGTCCGACGGTTCAAGCATAGTTGTTCACGATGAACGTATTCTTCGACGCCAACTATGTCTCGTTGGACTCGGCGAATATTCGATACGCCGTGTCACTGCTGCGAGGATCCGCCATGGCCTGGTGGTGCGTCATCGTCACGAAGTCGACCGATTACGAGACTCTACCACCACGAAAAGGACGAACCGGACCCTGGGCGCGGTTGTAGTTCGTGGAGGTAGCCCAGTATCGCACGTGAGACGCATGATGCACAAGTCTGCGCGCGAGATTCGAGCCAATTGCGGCTTCGATCGCGGCGCGACAGAAGCTCCGCACTTGGCCCACTTCGGTCCAAGACTACACCAGCGGATTTCTGGCGTTGTGCGAGCAGGTGGGATACATGCACGAGGGAGAGTGTATCGACCGCTATGTCAGCGGACTGAAGCACGACATCGCACACGAGATTCAGCTGTGCAACTTCATGGGATTTAACAAGATCCTTGCTATTGCGGAGAAGCTCGATTTTTTTACGCCAACCGAGACTAGGGTCCTACGGAAATAGCAGCAACTGGGGACATCGGCCTCGTGGGACGCACGAGCAACCACGATACGCGCCGTCGCCGCGATGCCGCTGCCGCACCTTTCATAAGGTGTTGCTTCACGTGCAATAGGCTGGGGCACCGTAAGAGCAAATGTCTGGAAAATGCTAAGGGAAAAGGGGGGACTGAGCAGCAGAAACAGACCAAGCCGCGGGGAAACGCTGGGAGTAAGTAGCACACGGAACCTCTATCGACATGTCACGCCGCCCGTCTGACCCAACCGACCCTCACCGAGTGATTATGCCGGATCACGCAATCGACCATACCCCGCCGAATAAGGAGGGTACAACGGTAGACAATGCCATACTGCTTAGTGGGAAAATTCATAGCGACCTAGTTAAAATCTTCATAGACGGGGCTTGATCAAGACCACCACGCACGACTGGTCGACGGCATGCCACTGGCGATACGGAAACACGCAGACCGAGTTTGGATCCGATGCGGGGGTAGGTTCATGTTTACCCAGGAAATGCTAGCAACGACCCTTAACTGGATCGACATTTACTTGGCCGAGATAAGCTGCAACGAAACAATCCGCGAATCGACTAGACGACGGGTGACTGCATTGTGCGAGTGAACGGTAACAACTTCGCCAGCGGCTGTCATGTGGGGTAAAACTGTACCCCACATGACCAAGACGGTGGTGCCACAGAACGGTGGGGTGGGCAAGCGACTCGCACGAGCAAGAAGCACTAACCTGGCCAGACGCCGTAACCTGACCAGACACAGCTACCTGGTGGGACGCAGGAACCCGGTGAGACGTTGGGACCTGACGGGGGGCAGTGACAGGGGTCGGAGGCAGCTGCTGCTACTGCTGCCGCTGCTGCTGCTGCTGCCGCTGCTGCTGCTGCCCCCGGGGGCCAATGTGAAGCGTATAGACCTGAACCCGGCTCCTGATAAAAAGTGGTCAGGGGGGCGTACGTGTCACCGTCCACACAGGTCGCAGAGTCCCCAGAAGGCTCAAACCAAACACCAACGTGCTGACCACGAGCGGCCGCACGCCCACTAAGTTCCGAGAGAACGAAGGGACGTGGAAGCCCGTCAGAGAACCCGAGGGAACAGCCGGGCACGGAAGCGTAGTAGAGTGGTGAGCAATGACTGGTCCCGAAGTGGGATCAGCCAGTGCTATGGAGACTGGCGTAGGAAGCGGAGTAAGGGTCGTGTGGTCGTGGAAGAAACACTGCAAAGCTCCGGAGTCCAGGGTGAAAGACAGTGAAGCGTCCGCCAGAGCAGCACCTAGCTGAGTACCTAAGCAAGTACCTACACTAGCAACTGGCACAGGATCAACACTAGCACCTAAGCTAAAAACACACAAATAAAAAGAGTCAAAAGCACTAGAGT